TATACAGCAGAGCCTCGATAGTCCGGACGAATTCAGACCGAGCATCATCCAGATTATCGATTTTTCCGGATTACCAGAGGTTTTTCAAAATTACCTACTCAAATTACTAAGATTTTATTTTGAATTTCACTATCTTTATATTTATTGCATKTTAAATTACAAGAATAATAATTAAATTAAATTAAAACTAAACTAATGAATTACAAAAAAAAATGTTTATAATAATATGTAGACCTTAAGTACCTACTGTAGTCGGTAATTCTTTGTCTATAATACTTTTAATTTTAATTTCAAAAGCGAGTTCCCTTAATCAACGTACCAACAAAATATCAGTACTATACATGTTCTATACATCTGCCCATTGCAATACAGTATTCAGTGCATTCACAGCTTTTGAAGGAGAAACTTTGAAAGAAGCATTGATTTATTATGTACCTACATACATGTATTAGTCTTTACTAGGAACAGTAGRTAATAAAAATGACGAAATTGTATTTGTCGATAACAATATTTTATAGATTAATTGGGTTGCAAGAATTCTCGTAAAATTGATTTACGAACAAATGGAATTTTGCCKCCCGKATTACCGCGCTCACCGGATTATCGGGGATCCGGACTATCAAGGCTCTACTGTACTTTAAATGATACAAATGAAAAAATATAAATAATATTAACACTATATTCAAGTAATGTTTGTCACTTTTTAAAAGTAATTATGTTATACTACTACATCTCATAAAATTAAAATGCTACTTTATTCCTTTTTTCAGAAATAGCATAACATTACTTTTTAACTCAAAAGCAATTATAATAATGCTGTTCATTCAAAATATTTAAAACTGTAAAACTATAAATAACATTAAATTACATAATTCATACATGTTATAACATTTTATTTAAATTTTATACATGAATGTGTCTTCAAAATTATTGTGTCTTATTAGTTATTAATTAATTATTGTGATCATTTTTTATTTATGCGAATAGTCTTATTCATATTAAAAGGTGTTCTACTAAAGCACTTGAAAGGAGTAAAGATATTATTATTAATAAAATAATTGGTAGGTAAACCATCTAATGTTATAAAACTGTCTAAACAAAAATTAGTATAAAAGTACTCAATTCCAGTTAATTTACACATTACCTGCCATTTTTGGTTTTAGATAATTTAATTATAAAATAATAWATAAAATATTTTTTTTAATAGGATTTATAAAAATTTACTGAGATTAATAAATAAATTAATAAATTAATAAATATATTAATGTAGCTACTTTTGTTTTATTTTAATAAATAAATAATAAAGGTACCTTAATGCATGGTTCTTAATAAAGTAACTATGTTACTACCAAACACTGTATAAAAGTTTGTATTACTGTGTGGCAGATACCTTTAAAATTATAAGTCAATACTCTAGTAAATCTAATACCTCCTATTATATAATTGCCTTTCCAATTGAAATTAATTGTATCATAAGTTAAATAAAATTAATTATTTATAGGTGTTTTTACCTGATCTGGAATTTTTTGTAAATTTGGGAGACTGGCCTTTATCATCACCTAAAGAACTATTTCCTTTATTTTCTTGGTGTGGATCAAATTATTCCGTTGATATTGTGATGCCTACCTATGATATTACAGAATCTGCTCTAGAAAATATGGGAAGGTAAGTGTCAGCTTTGAATTTTTTTTTATTTTTATTTATTTGTTAATATTTAAATGTATGTTATGTTTTTTCAAGGGTGACCTTAGATATGTTGTCAGTTCAAGGTAACATTGAAAAATCATGGTCACAAAAAATTGAAAAAGGCTTTTGGATGGGTCGTGACTCCAGCAAACATCGGTTAAATCTAGTGGAACTTAGTAAAATGAATCCAGACATGCTCAATGCTTCGATAACAAATTTTTTCTTTTACAAAGAATTGAAAGAAAAATATGGTCCAGGAAAAAAGCCCATTTCTTTTTTTAAATTCTTTGATGTATGATTATAATGACTTATTATATTAAGCTACTACACAAAATCTAATGATTTATTTTATATTTTATTTATTTATTTTTTAKTACAAATACCAATTAAATATTGATGGCACTGTAGCTGCTTATCGGTTTCCATATCTATTAGTAGGTGATTCATTGGTTTTCAAACAAGAATCTGAGTACTATGAGCACTTTTATAATGAACTGATACCATGGGTTCATTATGTCCCAATAAAAAGACATTTAGATGATTTGTTAGATTTGATAGATATTATGATGAGCGATGATAAAACAGCAAGAAAAATATCATTAAATGGTCAAAAATATGCAAGAGAACATTTAGCACCTCATAATATATTGGGATATTATTTACTATTATTTAAAGTAAGTTTGAACAGACATCACATCTGCATGTATTTTCTTCATCTTTCAAACTAACATATGACATAGTAAATTGACCTTCAACAGAAACAATGGTGTATTGTTTGGTTAAATATTAGTGTGAAGTAGTGAATTGAATTATCAAACTTAAAGGTATAAATAGTGTTATGGCTATGTAAAATATTGAAATTTAAAAAATTTAAAAAAATAGTTTAGACACCATTGGTTCTGTTGAATTCCAATTCACTGTGTCATAAAATTATAAAAAGGAGATTACACAGCTAGGTATGTGACATTCTCTTATAAACTTGGAATAATCAAGTATACTTTTTAATTCCTATTCATGTATATTTTAATTTAAGGTTTAAATGTACTATTCAACTATCATCAGGTTCTTTATAGGCTATAATATTCATAATATTTAGTATTTTCAAATTATTTTTCAAGTATAAATAATATTATTTGGGTAAAATAATTTCATTAATGAAGTTCAATGGTGCATTAGTTAATTACTTCAACTATTTGGTATATTATAATAATGTTTTATTAACATGGTGATTAGGTCGGTAATACTGTTTAGGAGACACATAACAAATATCAACATAACTATCCTAATACCCTACTTATATTTTGTTATTGAAGTTTATATTGTCTGTTGTTTTGCTTTAATATCATATTACTAATTTGTGGTGAGAAATGATATCACTATTTTATCAATTACAATTCAATTTTGCATGGATGTAGTTTAAAATATTAAATATTTTATTAATCATATTGAAAATATATTTTTACTTTCTAGAATTATAGCAAATTTTTGACCTCAGTAGAAGTCCGCCCCAATATGGATGCAGTAATAAGTACTCCCAACAGTCCTAATAAAATAACTTGTGAATGTGAACCTGAACCTGAACCATTCATGACAAATATTAAGATGGAGCTTTAAATTCAAGTCATAATTAAAAATTAACTCTTTTACAGTAATAAATGATTGTTGTATTATTATTATTATTTTATCTGTGTTAAAAACAACATTTGGAAATGGGTTATAGTAGAACACTGATCATACAAACTAATTATTGTCAAAGGGTACTTAAATATCCAGATAATTGATCATAGAACATATTCATCAAAATACATACCAAATTATAGAAGCTGCAGCAAATAGCGGTAGAAAATAATCAGTATTCATAAAAATAGTACGGAATAATTTTTATTATATTTTAAACATTATAGTTATATACTACTAAATAGACAGATATTTAATCTATGATTGTGTGGAATGACAAAATACAACTAGGTACAAAAAACCTTTTTATTTATTTTTTACCCGTTAATTGATGTTAAGATAGTTAGCGTTCTACTGTTTATTTGTAGTTTAATGTTTGATGATTGATGCTGTATGAATGTTGCGTATAGATTTATTATATATCTCAATTTATTAATAACCAGTCTCCTACTTTTTATCATATTGAATCTCATTAACTATTTATTCTTGCCTACTTATTGAAAAAGTTTATAATAGCATGTAAGAAATGAAATATAGGTAATTTTTTTTAAATTTTATTATGTATATCATATTATATTTTACTGAATTATTATGTTTACTTAATCAAGCTATACTTAATTTAAAAGCTCTAATTTTAGTTTCATTATTCCAATTTTATGATTTAATTTTGTATTCTTGCCTGCTTAATCATTTAATTAATTATTAAGTAATAATATTTTACTTGTATTTATCCTATATAACTTTTGTATACTAAATGATCTTTGTATACTATATCATACCATGCTATACTCAGGGGTTAAAGTGGGGGGGGACTCAGGAGGACTCAATCTCCTTACCTCTGACGGCGGTTAAAAAGCGTCTCCTTTAACAAATTAGGATTTTATACATYACACATTATACCTCAAATTATATATGGGACGCTTAAAACTTTATGGAGACATTAGTCCCCTCTGGAATTTTTCCCCACTTTAACCTCTGGCTATACTATATTACTAACAAGGCTGGGCATTAAATGTGAAACAATGACAGTTGAGTTACTTTTAACTTAGTTACCTACCTTCTTTTTTAAATAACTGTTCATTTAACCAAGTTATTTTTTATCATGATATATAGTTAAATCATTTTATAGTCATATTATTAAGTTAATTTTTTCCTAAAATGAATCCCATTTGTTTAAAATAAATTTTGTTGTTTAATTTTTTTTTATAATAAAAAGAAATGAATAATTAAAAAGATTATTTATAAATCCTAATTTTAAGTTATGTAATACAAGACTGTAGGTGCTGTGCTTATCTTGAATATGTATATAAAAACAAAAAAATTATACTTCTGTAATAAATTATATCTTGTTCAAATCTCTCAGCAATTATACTACCATATAATATATTAACATATAACTCAGTTTGATGTTTGATTATTCAATTAAAAATAAACAGTCTTAAATTTTAAATAATGTGTTGGAAATACTATTTTGAATTTAAACAATATTGTTATAAAGTTTAAAAGTTAGCATGAGTTGATATTAGTAATTTAATCGTTGTTTGCATAGTTTCGAAAATTGTGAATGTTATTTGTTAAWTATGGTTTTATTAGTTATTGCTATATTTTTTTACCAAATATCAAGAAATAATAAAGCTACACCAACTATATTGTGATGTTTGCTTAATATAACATGTTAAACATACCATTGCAATATAATAACTGAAAACCCAAAAAAACAATTATTAAAAATTATTTTTCAAAAATTTAAAATAACCAATTTTTTTCTACTGTTTTAAAACATAAATCTATTAGTGGAAATTTGTTGAATGGAATAGATTAATACTCGTAAAGTAATTCAGACAAAATTTAATACAGTAAATAATAATAATAAWAATAATCTTTTAAAAATTCTCAATGAAGAATTAGTTTCATGCAAAATTGAAAATATGCAAAAATAAATTTCAATTTTTATTACATTTTACATTTAATTTTAATTTTGCAGTGATAATTATGTCTTCATCTTCTTAAAATTTTCATAATCAAAAAGTAAGGTGTATGTAAATATAGCAAATATGCAATTCAAAAATATAATTTGTTAAATAGTAATTAAGTTTTTAATCGTTAATACATTGTAAGATAAATGTTATTAAAATTTAATAGTAGATACATTGGTGACATAAATAGGAAAAAAGTACAAATAATTTAATGCAGTATATTAATTGGAAAAGCAGAAAGTTATCATAGTACGTTCAATGTTTATTTCTGTGAAATTATGACGGAGATCTGAAAGAATGTACTTGTGGGATGAAAAACTACGTTCACCATCAACATTTGGTTATTGGAGCATATTTAAAATTGGCTATTATATCCAGTGAATAATTTACAACAGATAAATCGTTGAAATTATTACCAATCGTTCCATCGGTTTAGGAAAGTATATAGAATAATATTTATATTTATTAACTGATCTTTGTGCACTTTGTTGCCCGTTAAAAATACCCACTTTATATGATTCAAAATGTTTGTTTAATTCGAGGTTTATTTCAGAAAAATTTATATGGTAAAAACACTTGATTTAAGTCAAAAGGCTGATTTTTCACAATTCTTTTAAATATCAATATTTTCGTTA